ACTGTTCGAACCGGTCCCTCCGAGGTGCTTTGATACTCCAAGATGTCTTCCTGTCGCTTCCTGAGCTTGCCGGAAGAGGCGAAGAGGCGAAGAGGCGCGAAGGGGGGGGGAGTTCACGTCGTCCCAGTGATCTTCTCCGTCTCCCGAGAAGAACAGAACCCCATGAACATGTCCATAGATGAACATATATATATATAATAACATGTGAAGGGATTCTACGCCTCCAAAGGCTCTTGGCAAACGAATCTCAAGTGGTTGCACTCTAAGAAGGCTCGCCAAAATAATCTCAGCTCTAAGTAAGACTTGAGCAAGAAGTTTTGAAGGGAGTAATAATTATGATCACCAGGAAGATTCTACAACCTCCCTACCTTTCCGTATTTCTTCAATCCCCCTGCAGGCACAAGTGGTCAACATCGAGGCTTCAGCCTCAGTTTCTCGTGATCTGCCACGTGTTGCCAAGAGAGTTTCACCGTTCTCCACCCTTCAGAGAGGTCGCACCCCCTGAGTCGAACACCGTCAGCGCTGGTCAGCGCTCAGCCGAGCCCAGCGCCCACGGTGCAAGACGCTACGACGGTGCGACCGAGTGGCGGGTCAAAGCCCTTGGTCCAACCCGAAAGCGGTTCTTTCCCAGACACTCCATGGGACAGGAAGATTCACGTATACATTGGTGTGCTCTCAAGTCCCATGGAGTGTTTGGTATCGAAATCACAGAAACGGAAAGCCGTTTCTTTGAAATGGCAGGGTGGGGCCATTTGACAAGTCCATGTCTCATGTCCATGTCTCTTGACGCCAAAAGTGTGCGGCAGAATTGGGCGCTCAAAATTGTAGACCTCTCAACCAATTCTGCAAAGAATTGGTTGGCGGAGTCTGGAAAGGGTCCTTTTTGGGGGAGGAAATACATGGGAAGGCCCGACCTCTTTTGGACAGCGCCGTAACGTAGAACCCTGGGACCATGGCCGTTCGCACGCGCGAGGTTCGTGCGTTCCGAGGTGCTCTTGCTTCCGCGCGAGGTCGGCCGAAGGCTTCTCCTTAAACATTGAGAAAAACAATGGACGAAAAAACCTCTGGTCAAAGCAGGATTCTCTTGAATCCTGCCCCTAGCCCAATGGACAAGGGTGCTAAGGTAATTACTAAGAACTTAAATGACTCGTAAGAGGTCCTTAAGCCCATTCTATGGACATAAAACGGTGAGTGCACCCCCATCCATTTTGTATAGGATATATGGAGGATGTTCCAATTATCATTGTTGGCGATAGAGGGGTCCCAATTATCGACGAAAACGCATGAAGACGCATGAAGAGGTACGAAGACGTATGAAGACGCATGAAGAGGTACGAAGACGCATGAAGACGCATGCAGAGGTACGAAGATGCATGAAGACGCATGCAGAACGTATTACATCAATCTTTACGGTTTTCAAAACAAGAGAAGAAAGAACAACTCTCACTCACTCACACACACTCACATTCACACTCACTCTCACTCACACTCCACACTCACTCTCATTCTCACTCACTCACACTCACACTCAAACTCGCACTCGCACTCGCTCTCACACTCACTCACTCTCCCACTCTCACTCTGACACTCTCCCACTCTCACTCACTCTCCCACTCTCACTCTCACTCTCACCCACACTCACTGTCACTCTCACTCACACACTCACTCACACTCACTCTCACTCACACACTCACACTCACACTCCACACTCACTCACACTCACACTCAAACTCACACTCACTCGCTCTCACTCTCATTCTCTCACTCTCACTCACTCTCCCACACTCACCCTCACTCACACTCACTCCCACTCTCACTCACTCCCACTCCCGCCCGCACTCACTCACCCCCCTTCACTCTCACTCACACTCACTCTCACCCACACTAAAACTCACTCTCACGCGTCGGCGCGCATCGTCACGCATCGTCACGCATCGTTGCATCGTCACGCAGCGTCACGCATCGTCACGCAGAGTCACGCAGCGTCACGCAGAGTCACGCATCGTCAGCGATATTTGGACACCTTCACAAACATACTCTGAGTTTGTTCCAATTATTACTGGGCGGGCTCAGCCTTAAAAATCTAAAAACTCAGTCAAAGAAGCGCGACGCACATTTGCAGCCCCGAATCCACTCATAATGATTGGTTGTTGCTCCATTCGGACCGTATCAAGGGGCACGGTTTGAGATTGCATTAGTTGCACGCTTATATTTACAGGCAGGCACATGTCAGGAAGAGCGTGAATAGGTGCAGGTTGTGAAACAAAAGCACCTATTCGAGACACGGTAGATCTTCCCATAAAGGCTCGATAGGTTCCACCCCAATGTCGTTTTAGTAGTTCCGCTCAGCATGCCAGGGCGCTCGCAGCATGCCTTTTAATTGAGCCGAATCACTGGTTGAAAGTACATGGATCGAGGATGGCCTATTCCCTGGGAGTCCAAAACCAGTTCAAATAAAAATACTTTACTTCGAGTGATCCCACCACGACATTTCAATCATTTGTCTTAATGCCATAGTGAGGAGCATGTTGCCATGGTCGTGAGTATTGTAGTTCTCGATTTTGCTTGTGGATCCTGGGGTTGTGTGCTGTGGTTTTGTGTTGTGGTTGTGGTTGTGCTGTGTTGTGGTTGTGGTTGTGTTTGAGATTGTGGGTTTGTGGCTGTGTTTGTGGTTGTGTGTGTGTGTTTGAGATTGTGTGTTTGTGGCTGTGTTTGTGGTTGTGTTTGTGGTTGTGTGCTTGTGATTGTGTTTGTGGTTGTGTGTTTGTGGTTGTGTGTTTGCGGTTGTGTGTTTGTGGTTGTGTGTTTGTGGTTGTGTTTGTGTGCTTGTGGTTGTGATTTTGTGGTTGCGTGTTTGTGATTGTGTGTTTGTGGTTGGTTGTTTGTGGTTTTGTGTTTTTGGTTTGTTTGTGGTTGTGTGTTTGGGTTTGTGGTTGTGTGTTTGGGTTTGTGGTTGTGTTTGTGGTTGTGTGTTTGTGGTTGTGCTTGTGGTTGTGTTTGTGGTTGCGTGTTTGTGATTGTGTTTGTGGTTGTGTGTTTGTGGTTGTGTCTTTGTGGTTGTGTGTTTGTGTTTGTCGTTGTGTTTTTATGGTTGTGTGTTTGAAGTGTGTTTGTGGTTGTGTGTTTTGGATTTGTTTGTCGTTGTGTGTTTGTGTTTGTGGTTGTGAGTTTCCGGTTGTGTGTTTGTGTGGTGTTTGTGGTTGTGTGTTTGCGGTTTGTGGTTGTCTGTTTGTGGTTGTGTTTGTGGTTGTCTGTTTGTGGTTGTGTTTGTGGTTGTGTGTTTCTGGTTGTGTTTGTGGTTGTGTGTTTCTGGTTATGTGCTTGTAGTTGCGTGTTTGTGATTGTGTTTGTGAGATTGTGTGTTTCTGGTTGTGTTTGTGGTTTTGTGTTTGTGGTCGTGTTTGTAGTTGTGTGTTTGTGGTTGTGTTTGTAGTTGTGTGTTTCTGGTTGTGTTTGTGGTTGTGTGTTTGTGGTTCTGTGTTTGTGGATGTGTGTTTGTGGTTGTGTGCTGTGGTTGAGGTCCGGCAGGGAACACTGGGCGTGGATGATCGTGGTTGAGGTCCGACAGGGAACACTGGGCGTGGCTGGTCGTGGTTGAGGTTCGGCAGGGAACACTGGGGCGTGGATGGTCGTGGTTGAGGTCCGGCGGAGGAGGACGAGGAGGAGAAGAAGGAGGCGGAGGAGGAGGAGATGGGGCTCACATAAAATCAACCAACCCTCACCTGACAGGTGGGCAAATATACTTTAGGATACCTTAGGTGTCCCAAAAATAGGAGTTTCCTTTACTTCGGTGGTGCAACTTGTTTTTGGACTTCTAGGGTATTCACATCCCTGTTCCGTTCACAAGTGAGCTGTACGGTTCGTTTTCTGCATGCTCCTCTTTAATATGTACTCCAAAAGTCCTTGTTTTTCCTGGTGGCGTTCTTCAAAAGCAATGTATGCAGCAGGAGACAGAGAGAGAGAGAGGAAAAGAACAATAGAGGGCAACTTCTTCCACTCCAAGGCAACTTCTTCATCTCGGGGCCTGCACGATATTTCGGGGTGAATTCACTTCTCAAGATTTGTTATGCAAAGGGTCGCCCTCGCCACCAAGAAACAAACGCTTTAGCTATCCCTGTTAGTTGTTGTCATCTTCTCTACATTCTTCTACAGGGCGCTGCACATCGAGCAGTTGCCCCTTGGCGCTGCACATCGACCTTCCTGTCATCCACTGCGTCTCCTTCTGCCATTGCTCCTCCAGGGCCTTCTTTTTGTCCAAAAGCTCCTCCAGAAGCTCCGCGCGGTGCAGGGCCAATCAAATCCATGTGGGGCGACTCGACTGGATTGAACCTATAGCTGGGATATAGGGGTGGCATGAATTAGTTAGTTGTGTCGCAAGAGACTCCGGAAATCTGATATTCATTCAATCGTTTTGATTGGCTGGATCTGTTTGTGATAAATTTAAGGTGACGGATGAAGCTCTGAACCATGATGGACTGCTCTAGTCCAGACTTCAGTCTATTACAAATCACTAAACACCATCCAGCCATCTTCCATTCCACCACCCCCCCCAAAAAATACATATGCAGTGGATACTATATGTTTGGAGGTGGTTAGAGTATGTTAGAGTGCATTCTGAAATTGATTTGAAGTATAGTTTAAATGTGTTTGAATCAAGATGTTTTAAGTTGCTGACATCTTTCCGTCTTTATGCTCCAAAGACGGCACGACGCGACTGCGCGACTATGACAGCTGAAGGTCGCAAATGGTTTTTGGCATCCTAGCAGCATCAAGGTTGGAGATCACTGCATCTAGATGGTTGAAGATCACTCCATGTTTTTCCACTCTCTTTCTCTAAGGACCTCTGCCTTGTATCCATGAGATCAGTTGGATCCTTCGTATTCAACTGAAAAGAGTGGGACTGTAGGACTTTCTGCCTCCAGATCTTTACAAGCAAAGCTGTACAGTTTGTCCTCCGCCCCTAGGCCCAGCCGGTGGGCCTATGCTGTGGCGCGGATGACTTAAATGCCCAGCTGCTGGGGCTGGGGCTGAGTAGCACCAAAGGCTGCCCGGATGGTCTCCTCGGCGATCATCACCTGGCCACCTTGGACAACTGCTTGGCTCTGATCCAAGACGACGGCCTCTTTGGTGTTGCGGTCCACTAGGATCACTCGCTGCACAAACATCGCCATCACGAGGTTTTCACCAAATGGGTCCTGCCATCGATCGACGTAACTCGACGTGAAAGGCGGAAAGGCGGAAAGCAAAGGTTTTGTGCCCCAAAACCAAACATGACCTATGAACTCACTCTCACTTCAGTGGTGGACTTTGCCTGGCTTCCCCACCATGGTTCACCAACATTCCAGCTGAAACAAGCAACGCTGGCAAACCGGCTCCTTCTTGCAGCATGCGATGCACAGGCCCACTAGCCCCAAAGGCACCACCACAGAGCCCGCCATGATCAAGGGTCGCCACTCCACTGGGCCAGTGAGGTCCCACATCGAAAGGCCCAGCACGCTCATGAAGACACCCGCCATGAGAAATGTGCAAACACAGCGAGCGAGCCAATGTTGGCAATCACACAAGCATGCCATGCAGCAGCAAATCACCAACAAAACGCCCACCACCAAAACAGGTATTTCAATTTCTGGCTTGCCATGCTGGATACACCGGCCATCATAGCAGCTGTGAGTGCTCTTCAAGCACTTGCTTTTTCCGCAACACTCCCAGTCACCGGGGTCGAGGCAGTGGCCGTTGCAGCAAAGGCTATGCGTGCTGAACGGGTCGCAGCTCGAACTCAGTGTTCCCTCAGCGTTGAGGCAGCAGCAGTTGTCAGTGGAATGATGGCAAATGCCGCCGTGAAGTTCCTTCTCTCCAGCACATAGGTAGGGATGGCTCTCGTGGCATTGCCCGGGGAAGACATGTTGCATTGTAGCACAGGCGGTGGGTTGCGCAACCACATAGTGCATCAGTGTGGCTGAAGCGACCGGAGCTAAGCGCATCGATGCCATCTGCAACAACTGCTGTTAAATAGTGGGCACGAACTACTTGAGCCGTGCCACGTGTAGTTTGGCTGCATGTAAGTTTAGTTTTATCAGTTATCCACCTTGCGCTCATGTTGGCTCGGAAGAGGCATGGCATGTCACTGAAAACCTCTTCCAAACCACTGGTCCTTTCAAAAAACAAACACTTGCGACTCCTTCCGCTCTCTGCTCAGGATCTGCAGTTGCCCCACACAGCTGGGATTGGCGATGGCCGAGAAGCAAAGCTCCTCTTCCCCTCGGGTCTTGGGCCCAGGCCACGGCGGTCGTGGAGGCAACGGCGGGTGCTTCGTCGCCGCCGTTCGGAAAGAACGTTCTTCGTAGCTCGGACCAATGGGTGTAGTAAGATCCTTGTAGGTCATCTTCGGGTCATGTCTCATGTTCTGACTGGAGGCTCCATTTCTCAGTCCGACCCACCCCCAGCCGTCGCGACCGACGACGATGGTCCCGGTCAAACCGGTCGCCGACGAACAGCGAGTTCCAGCGGAACGCGGATGGTGAAGGTCCCCCCAAGAACTCTTAAGGTCAGAAGAGTGCCGTTCACGGGAAGGGTGCCAGGTACCACCGGCCTGTGGCTTGGGTTGTACACTTGGAATCAACCAACCGAGGCCGTACAAAAGGCCATCTGTGGTCTGGATATCCTGGCGGAAGATCAGTCGGCGTATTTCTTTTTTTACAAACAGATACAAACAGACAGGGTGGTGCTGGTGGGTATCTTTCAGAATCTATGTCCACTATTGTCAATACACCTACATGTTTGAAGGCATGGCTTATATACAGTAAAGGCATGTGGTATTGTTTGAAGCTGCAAATCCCACCCCTGCGGACCTTGGAACCTGCAAGACCGATATGCAACACATGAGCATCGTGGGATAAACTACCCCAAAAGACCAAATCCACATAAGCTGGACTTAATACATACCATTTGAGAAGCCTCCTGCAGATTCTTGGAACTGATACCTGCAGCAAGAAATAGAATGAGACCCGAATGCGTTCTGACCGTCCCAGGACCATTCCAAGCCACCTAACTCCCCCAGCATCATGTCAGGCGAAAGGGCTGCTTCCTCGCTGCTGTGTGTGCCATTTGCCAAGGGATTCACCGGAGAGTGGAGCAGGGGTGGAGCAGGAATCTCCCAGCACAAGCAAAAATGAACTGAACTGATGTAATTAATCCAAAAACCACCCAGTTCGGGTGATTATTGGAAGGAACATAGTCAGGGGGTCTATACACACTGGTAAAGGAGGAACGGTTTAAATCGACATGCTCCAAACAAAACACTACGGGGATTTTGGGCCACGGCCAAACCCTCACAGTCTAAAATCCATTGTCGAATCCAAAGTTGAGGTCGGTCAGTGTACCCCGAAGGTTACATGATTACAATTCAGCCACCGCAAAGATTAAGTTGAGCCAGGGATTGTGGAGGTTGGTCAGTTAATGTAATTAACTATTCATAGAACTATTGATTAATAACCTCCCCTAAGTGAATCGAGACAGCTCTTTATAATATGGGTTTATGAAATTAAGAGTCTACATTATCAAGGCTCTATGTTTCGTGTTCTGACGCTTGCAGGAAAAGACCTTGGATGACACGTGCTGTGTTCGCCCAGTGAGAGACGGGATGTGGTGGCTACAAAGCCATGTTCATTGAAACAGCAGCATCAGCAGCTGGAAGATGTGTCAAGCAGTTTGGAGGAGGCTGGTCAGCAAATTCAAAACACAGTTGACAAACCAAGTTTCTGCCAAGAAGATCAACCAATTCTGGGAGATCCTTTTCTTTTAAGAGTCCAGTACCTTTGCATATGGTGAAGTTTCGGAAGTGAAATCCTAGTGCATTTCTGAAGTGTGTCTAAGTTCCTAGTGATTTTGGTTAGTAATCGTTCCATGTCGATCCCCAATAGCGATAGCTCTTGTAGGCCTTAGTAGGCCTCTGAGACGGCCGCTTTGCTATTGGGGTTGTCAGCTGGGATCATTGTTCTTGTGAATTCGTGGTCATACCGACCTGGAAGACCTTGGCCGTTGAACACCTCCCGAGAAAAAGCGGCCCTGCTGAAATTGAGTCACCGTGTTGCCTGTGGGTCACAAAGGTTTAATATGTCACCCTCCAAAAACCACCTGATTTGTGGAATCCGTTTCGGAAAGACCTGCCAGCTATGGTTTGGGCATCTCTGCTTCATATTCCCAAGCTACTTCGCCCAACAGCTCCCCGAAGCTACTTCAGCACAGCGGCATTACAGAGAAATTCCCAAGCTACTTCCTCCGAATCAAAAGTGAATGGACATGTTCCAAAGGCCGCAGATTTGGGTCAACCTCCGTCAACCTCCAGTCACATTCTCCAGTCACAGCTGTCCAGCATTCAGTCCTTGAGTAAGAGTCTGAAGGTCTTCTTCTTCTCTCCTGAGACTTCGATTTGTTCTCCAGGAACTCGGAAAAACCATCTTCCCGATGCGAGGGGATCAATCAACATCAAGCGTGGGGACCCAAAACCCACATTTGCTGTCCAGGAAATCGGCAGAAACTGGGAAGGAAACTAGAACTAGAACATCTTCTCCCTACTTGAGGCAAAGCCCCCAGAAAAAAATTCAGACTTGCTGTCCCCACACTCACTTGCGAACGGTCTGACAGCTCGCCCCTCTAAGCCCTTCCACATAATACGTGGGGTGCCAGAAGGTAGACAGACTTGTTGTCCAAACCAAGCAAAATCTGGCAAACTGGGAGGAACATCCCCATGCTTAGGGCTCCAAGTGCCTTCTAAGAAGGTGTTTGAGGTGGGTGCCAGGAGGGTCCAGTCATACCTTCTGAGGTACGACTGGAGCCCCATGCTTATAGCAAACCCCCGAAACGGGGGATGTTCCTCCCATCTCCGCATGGCCGATGTCACTGCATGGGGAAACCATGTCGAGAGTGAAAGACATTCGAGGCGAGCCGAACACATCCATGAACCAAAGGGGCCCTATAGGCTTACGGGCCCTAGGGTTTAGAGTCCCTAGGGATCCGTTTTCGTACCGAACCTCAGGTACGGTGGTGTGTACGGGGCCAGTCGTACCTTCGGAGAAGGCAAATAATTGGATCCCTGTCGGGAGTGAATGAAACCGATGGGCTCAACAACACCACGGTCCAAGACAGAAGAAACGTTTTCTAGTCTAGACGTGCCAGGACCTTCAAAGTCTAAGTGACCTTTTGATATGCCAGGTTGAGGTCACTTAGGTCTGTAAAAAGTCACTTAGATAGAGACTCCAATGAGGTCACTCTGAATGGTGTCCGTCAAAGGGGCCCTTTGTCCTTGCTAGTTCCAATTGACCAGATTGCTTTGCAACTGAACATTGGCGTCTTTGGAAAGGAAGTGATTCCCCGCTCTACCAGCACCACATTTACCCTCACCCAAACACATCAACAACCGGTCTTTGTAGCGAAATAAATGGAACTCACAGCAGTTGCTTCACCCCCTACCTTCCTGGACGTCCAGTCAGTTGCTTCCCCCCCCTACCATCTGGTGTCAAGACACCACCATGCTCCTTGGCCACCTGTTCTTCCAGGCGCCGCTTCAACTGCTCCACGCGCTCCAAGGCGTCCAGGTCCATCGGGCCCAGCAACAGCTCGCCGCTGGCGGCTCCCCGACAGGTCACGCGCACCATCGCTGGTCAGAGCAGGTCCCACAGCCGCCAGTGGAGCGTGCGGATGGAAGATGGTTGAGGTTTTGGGTGGGGCTGCTGTCTGAAGAGATGCGAAGAAAGCTTTGAAGTTTGGGATAGTGACCAGTTGTCCCCCAAAAGGGGGGGGACTGGCTATAGCGCTATGTTTTGGAATTCCGCTGAACAGTGTTCTCTCCTTTTGACCGGTTTGCAAAAGGGAATAATGTCATGTTGAAGTCCAACCTCCAGCTCCAAAAATAGAAATGGGATGAAATGGGATGACACCAGAATGTAGGGGGTTCATAGCTCTCATGCAGGGGGGTTCGCTGTGTAGGCACCAGCAGTGCTACCAGCAGTGTTACACCGTTGCTCGGTCCGGTCAATGCTTGGGCCTGGTCTGGCAGTGTCATGGAACTAGGACTCTCTGCCAGTAGAGTACTGTTGAGTGGAGTTACTCCCCACTATTACAGTGGTTTCAGAGGTTCGATGGCGACCGAAAAAGATGTCCTGAACAGATGGGGGTCCATATCAACCACCAAACTTGGACATTTATGCCATCTACTCTCAATCCAGACTGTCAAGATCTGGTGACTTACTATGCGTGGAGTTCACCCCCTGTTTTTTTCGTAGAGCAACCAATAGTCTATGTGAGTTCCCCATGGCCCAGATGGCCCATTCCATGGAAGATCCGTAATCCTTTCGTCGTCCGAGTGTAGCCAAAAGACCATCCCTAGTGCTCCAGTCGTACCTCCCCAGAAGATCTGACTGGACCCTCCAAACTTTCACTCGAAGCACCGAAAGCAGTCGTACCCTAGGGATCTCAAACCCTGGGTCGTAGCTGATGTTTCCCAAGAGTGGACCAGGGACTATGACCTCAGCACCCGGTGCACGGCAGCACCCAATGCACGCGGCACCCAATGCACGCAGCCCAGGGAGGGGCCCACAGTCCAAACGCTTCAGCAGACCGTGGGTGAGGAGGTGCAGTTGGAGAACTCCCTGGGCTCGTCCACTCCGAGTGAAACAGCTCCCTGTTGGGAAAGGAGTCGAGCCGAGCCGTCCTCCCTCCGGCCGTCTACCATGACCTGATGCCAATCCAACATCCTTAATACAGGCTGAGTAATTACAGTTGTCATGACATTAAGAAGTGATTGAACCAGGTATAGCGGCTAGCGGATTTTATAGGACCCCACTTTAAGAGAGCACATCTAGCCCTGGGCCAGAACATGGCATATGAGTCATAGTCGAAACTCTCGGAGAAATGCCCTACGGATCCAAGTACCTTCTCAAAAGGTACGACTGGACCCTCGTGGCACCTACATAAGAGTGTCGGTCTCACATCACCGTACCTGAGGTTCGGTACGAAAACGGATCCCTAGGGATGTTATATGTTACATCTTTTAAATGGTTCCTCTTTACCCCGAAAAGTCCCTCAGTCTCGTCTCCCGAAAGCCCTGCCGCCCAGGCTCCGACCCGAGCTGGGGCGGCTCCGGCTCGTGGGATCGGCGAGGCTCCGGCAGGTCCGGCATCGGACCCTTTGGCCATGTGGGCGGATGAGGTGCCAGTGGGGTGGCTGCATGTCTGTGGGATGTGGGCCCCGGAAGTGAAGGGAGGTGGCAGGTAGGAGGGTGGCAGGTAGGTAGGTGAAGGTAGGTGGTGAAGGGGGTCCAAAGAGCATGTTTGAAGAATTGGAAACGCTTTCAGAGGTTCGATGGAAGGCCCCAAGATGACAAAGATGAGGGTCCATATCAACCACCAAACTTGGGCATTTGTGCCATCTACTCTCAGCCCACTATACAGACGTATGATATGTGGACCGAATGTCACTTCACCGGCTCTGAGTTCTTGAGTGACCATGGAAATCGGTAGGATTGAATGGGCGATATGCTGTACTGCAGTCCAACTGTCAGTAGTCCAAACAGTGGAGCTTCATGACAAGGTTTAAAAGTATCCCAGGAATTAGATAGACCCTACGGATCCAAGTACCTTCTCAGGGGGTGATTGGAGACACTCTCGTGTAGGTTTTGAGGGTCCAAGAGAAGGTACTTGGATCCTTAGGGAGATGTATTTCAACAGTTTATGTGTACTGGAGAATAATGGTATGTTCCTAGAAGACAAATAACACGGCCAAAGGTTAGGAAACCATTTGTTAGTTCTGCAGTTCTGCCCCACAAATTCACCTCCTGGCCAAAAGAACCTTCTGGCCAAGTTTCCACAAATGGAGGTATGTTCTGATGCTTCTCTTGAATCTTCTCAGCTTCATCAAGCTCCCGATCAAACACATATATATATATATAACATAATTATCCATAATTAACCTTCTAGTACTCTTCTTGATGACTCTCAGCATCAAGCTCGTCCCATTCAAAGAAACCTGATGGATTGACCTTCCCCTCCATCATTCCTCATTTGCTTCCATAAACTACTGCTTGGACCTCAAAAACCAACATCCTTGAAACACGATCCTGAAAACCTGAGGATATGTTATCTTGCATATGTTCTGCACAGCCCTCCTCCACACGAATCAATCAGGGGGCGTTGCTCCACATGATCCCCAGACCTTGTGACCTTGCAGGGGTGGTTCATACGGCGACACCAATGCTTTCTTGAAAAGTGCTTATCTCCGTGTGGTTTCAACCGACTTGAACAAAAGTATTAGTTATAGTAGTGAGTGGGACCAATCATCCCAAGTAAGCTACAAAGGGCTTAGAGATCTGAAAGCACATGAAAGCACCACCCAGTCCCTACACCTCCAAGTACCTCCTCAGAAGGTATTTAGACCCTCCAAACCCACCCCAAACACCTTCTCAGAAGGTACTTGGAGGCCTAGGGAGTTATAGGGTCGCACCAAATCGAGACTTCGAGCTTTCAGAAGTGCTTGGGTGGTGCATCGAGGACGCGCGCTGTGCTCTTTCTTGACGCTTCCATACAGCTTGACGCGTCCAAGACACCGTTAAGCCCAAGAAGGAGCCCACATCCATACCTGGGAAGAAGAATCAATGACGGAGATGGAACCCATCAGACTCGGCCTATTGCAGGAGACGAAGAAGAATCGACTCAACAGGAGCCCAAGAAGGAGCCCAATGACCGAGCCGATTTGGTCTATTGCAGTATGCCCACCAGAGATGAAACCCATGGATATCACCGGTGAGGAGCCCATCATTCACCATCCCTGTTATCCCGAACTGGTGTAGTAGTAGTTGGTTGCCACACTGCAGTAGTCGTTCGCGGACTTTCTGCAGCTCCTCGCGGCTAGGCCGGAGAAAGGTAGGTAAATCAGGTGGCCGGGTACCTCCTTCGGAGGATGGCCGCACGAACTGAAGCCAGCTCGTGTGTGAGGGTTTCGGTGCGCGCATCCCACGGCCATGCAAGCTTATCAAAAAGCAAGTCATCGGGGATGGCAGTGTTGGTGGTGCGGAGTGCCGTGCAGCGCCACTCGTGGTGTCGGTCGCTTTGCGAAGCACCACAAAAGACGCACGGATGTGTGGGGCGTCCCAAGCAAACGTTGTACCGGGCTTGAGAGACCCAATGGCCCAGGAATGCTGCCAGCATGTGTGGCTTGTGGTGCTGCGGAGCCCGGTTCAAAGCTGCGCGTGCTTGCTGCCAGCGGGCTCGGACGGTGGGCCAAGCCATGTGCTGAAAGCTGTGTGCTGTCAAAGTGCCCGAAGTGCGAAAGTTGTGCCATTGGAGTGCTCTCCATGCATCCCTGAGGATGTGTTGTAGTGCAGGCTTCGTGCTAGGAAAGTGATGTGTGAAATGTTGAAATTGCTGGGGCCACAGTTGGCGTACCGAACCTTGGCAAGTCAAGGTGATGTGTGCTGCTTTGTGTGCAAAGGTCCATGGGGCTACCACGGACCAGCCCTGTCGGGCAAGCCATCGACGTGTGAGGGCGAGCGGGCCCTGGGTTTGTGCTGTGTGCCAGGCGAGGTTCTGGTCTTGACGAGCTTGATCTAAAATGTGGGAGGAGACTTGAGATCCCACTCTGAACTTGGCGTCGGCTGTGTGGCCGGAAAATAGACGGAACAGCGGGCCATTCGGGCCAAGCGATGCCGAGGCTTGGTGGTTCAGATCAGAGAAAGCTCGAAGCAGTGGTTTCAGCTCATCCAGGGAAGGAAGGCGAGAAAAGGTCGGGGCTGCGGCCACGGCCAACGCCGTGGCCTTGAAGAAGAAGGCTTTTTCGTCCACCGAGTGTGGAAGAGCCCTGACCCATTTGCCCAGGAGCTTAGCCTTGTTAAGGCGGGCGGCTTCCTCTTTTTGAGCGGCAGCGTGCTGACGTGTCAACGTGAGTCGAGAACCAAGGAGCTTGGGTCGGACAACGATCGTGGAGTCAAGGACAGAGATGTTGTGCGCTTGGAGAGCATGAACCAAAGCCTGGCGGCCGCGAGAACCAAGGGTGGTGGAGAATTCCAATTTGGAGCGGTTCTCAGACATTTCAAGGAGCCGAGTTTCCGATTGCCAAGTCAAAGCAATACGGGCAGCCTGGTCAGCAGAAGTGGTGAGCCAGCTTCGGTCATCGAGATAGGCCAGGTGATCCGACTGAGGATATTGCTGGATGAGTCGATGCATTGCTTCAGCGATGCAGACATTCAAGGCCAAAGGGCTAAAAGGGTCGCCTTGCGGAAGAGAGCCAATGTTGATCTGAGCCGCTGAGCCCACGCGCCGACCCAGTTGAATCCATCGAGTTTGGTGTTCCCAAGCTCGAGAGAGGGCATGAGTGAGCCCGGCCGGGAACCCCATGCGACCCAATGCGTGAGCAGGATAACAAAAGGCCAATTTATCAAAGGCCTTAGTCAGATCGGCCGCACCTAGGAAAGATGGAAGGGAGGGGTTGGGGCCTCTATGAGTGCTGCAGTAGGCCTGTTGGGCTTCCAACTTCATAAGGGCAGTTGGTAGAGCTGTGTGGAGGCCTTTGTTGCGAAGACCACCGTGGAGTTGCTGCGGGAGTGTGTCACAGATCCACTGAGACAGGTGTTGAGAGCGAATATGTGCCCAAGCTCGGTAAAGGA